TAATGAAGTATATCTTTAATTATCATTTCATTTCCAATTTACTAATTTAGATTTTATATGTAAAATGAAATTGAAACTTAACTTTAATGTCTTGTTTTCATTAGCCAAATTATGGTGGGAACTGCTCTAAGTATGTTTGCTGTTGAGTGTAATTTTATGAGACAAATTTGTCTTCAAAGGTATATTTAGTTAGAATGACTTACAGATTTAATAGTAGTAATAACTTTACATTAAGATTATAAAACAGTTTTATTTTTGTTAATTTATTTGATAGTCACAACATGTTTTTAAAGATAGCTAGGGCAGGTGTTCTTATTAATTCTGTTTTACTGGTGATTAGTTAGAGATCAGAGAAGCTGAGAATTTTGTAATAGGGTCATTTTCAAGGAAATGTGGGGAATCAAGCACTGGAACTCAAGTTTCTTGATCCAAATCTATTGTTTTCTATGATACCAAGTAGCCACTTAACCTTTCTTTTGTACTGGGGAAGCATAGACAGTCACCCCTCATGTGCTTTGCCCATTGCTGCAACCGTGGTGTTGTGTAGGGGTGGAGATGAGAATATTTAGTGTTGGCAAAGGTGCTACTTAAACTCCTTAAACGTTTTTAAAAATGTTACATTTTCAGCTTAAGAGGCCTTGTGCCTCATAAAAAGAATTTGAGGTACCTTTATTCTTTTATAAGGGAAAAGAGAACATTTGGTAAAAATGGAACAGACTTTTTAGCACTTAAAACATAATTAAGGGCATGCTATAATTTATAAGACCCAGGTGAAGTATTATCAAAATATAGTAATGTGCTACTAGTTGATGCTTCTACTAAAAAGTAGAGGAAAGTTTATGAATCTTTGTAATGGTATTTTCTTTAGCTGTTGTGTTCATTTTTATTGATTTATAGGCTTCAGAAGTGTGTTCCATCACAGGAAATTGGAATTATTATAGGGTAATTGAGGTACTTCTGAAATTTCGTACTAAATATAACTCAGTTACTGTTTTTCAGTATTTTGGAACAACTTCAATATATGTTTATAAGGGCTTCCTTATAGGAAAAAAAGAACTTCAAGTTGGTAAAACATTTATGCTGATTGCTATTGAAATGTTTTTCAGGGTGTTTCATTTTGTTTTTTTAAAGAAAAAACGTAACATGGAATCTCAGGACCCCTTACAATGTTAAAAATTATGAGGGTCTCGAAGCATGTCTGTTTATGTGGGTTGTATCTGTTACTGTATACTGTGTTAGAAATTAAAATTTAAAAAATTGAAAACCATGTAATAATTTTGAAATATATTCATTTTAACATCTATTTAATTTCTTTAACTCTGAGAAGACCAGAATTTATTACTTTGATTTATTTAGGCATTTAAGCCATTAATATTTTGTAGTTCTTGCTTAATACCCAACACTAATTTTGAATATTGATGGTTGTTGACACTCAAAAATCCAGCTCTTTTGGCCTGAGACTTCAAGATAAGGCAAAAGTAGTCTCTAAGTATGTTAATATCTGTCCCTATCTATTAAATACCTAAATAGGACTAAAGTATCCTATAAGTATATTAATATGAAATATCAGAGTGAGGGATAGAAATGACTGGCTTTCTTTTCTCTTTTAAAACTAACATAGGTTTCAAAAAGAGTACAGTACAACTTTATGGTACTAGGAAATCACAAAACCTTGTGTTTGATAAGTAGGCAGAAGTATTATCATAAACTAGCTTTATGTGGTTATAGGCCAAACAAAAATAGATTTTGCAGTATCAAAACAGGAGGGAAATGTAATTATTATATCTCAAAGCCAGTTAAATTTTATTGTTTTCCAGAAGTTTCTTTTATCTCAAAGATATGAGGTTTAATTTCAGTCCTAACAGGTGTTATTGACCTGTTTCTGCTGCTGCATAAACTAATAAGAACGATAGCAGGTATTTATGGAGGGTTTACTGTGTTCCAGCCACTGTTCTAAGTACTTTATGTGTTTTAACTTATTTAATCCAACAAACCCTATGAAGAGCTATCAGGAAACTAAGGCACAGAGAAGCTAATTAAATGGTCCGAGGCCTCTCTGCCATGGAGTCGGAATTCAGATTCAGGCAGTCTGCTTTTAGAGGTTTTGCCTTCCATCAGCCACTAAGCTGTATTGCCTCAACTAAGTGAACCAACTGAACTAACATCTGCAATTATAAAATAAACAAAATGGATATTGATCATATATTTAATTAAGATAATTTATAATTTAATTATTATGTAGCTAGGTGCATACATGTCGCTAGGAATTAAAAAAATATAAATGAATTCCTAATTATAAAAATAATATATATGAGAAAAATTTTAATAGTACATAAAATTTCTAAAATCTTTTGCCCATTTTTGTTTCATTTTTAAAATAGGCTATTTTTAGAATAATTTTAGATTTACAGAAAAATTGAGAAGATAGTACAGACTTCCCACACTCTGATACCCAGTGTTTCTATTTATTAACATCTTACATTGGTAAGGTGCATTTGTTAGTGAACTGGTATTTATAATAATGATACATTATTAATGAAAGTCCATAGTTTATTCAGATTTACATCATTGTCCCTAATAGTCCCTAATATCTCTCCCAGGATCCTATTATGCTGTATTTAATCATCATGTCTCCTTAGGCCCTCCTTGGTTGTGACAGTTTTTCAGACTTTCCTGATTATTTTTATGACCTCGATAATGTAAGGGGCATTGGCTAGGTATTTTGTAGGATGTGTCTAGATTAGAATTTGTCTGATGTTTTTCCCCTGATTAGACTGGGGTTATGGGAATCGGAGGAAGAGAACACTATAAAGTGTCATTTTTATCACATCATATCAAGAGTACTACTCATATGAACATGATTTCTCACTGTTAATGTTGACTGTGGTCGACCATCTTATAGCAGTTGTGAAGCTTCTCTGCTGTAAAATTACCCTTTTTGTCTTCCCTTGACACTGCACTCTTCAAAAGGCAGTCACTGTGCACGCGCTTCTCCTTGAGGACAAGATATCTGCCTCAGTCATTTGGAATTCTTCCATCCAAGAGATTTTTTTTCCATTTATTTATTCAATCACTTATTTGTATCAGTATGGACTCATGGATATTCACTTTATACTTTGGGTTATAATCTAGTATTACTTTATTTGTTGCTCAAATTGTTCCGCCTTTGGCCATGGTGTGCATTCTTGGCATAACTCTTCAACACAACGGTTTGTTTCTTTAGAGCTCTTACTTTCTTGCACTACAAAGATGCTCCTAACTCATCTTATGTATTTCCTGCCCCGGTCCTAGAGTCAGCCATTTCTCTAAGGAGCCGCGGTTCCTTTTATTGGAGAATGGCATTAGAAATGAAGATCAGGGTGCTAGGTATGTTCATTGTTATTGGAGTGTCATTTCTTTTAGGCCCTCTCAGCTGACAGAGCAAAGAAATAGATGTGTGTACACTAACCTGTAAACTAACACATATCTATAAGTATTTCTGGATATAGCCACCTGTATCTATATTAAGCTAAACATGAATTCTTACTGAAGTGTCCAAATCTAATTATCACCATGTGTCATTAGAGCCTTTTCCCCTTGCTTAATTGTAAATTCCACCCCAAAAGTGAGATACTCAGCTCCCACCATCCTCCATCCATGTGTTCAGTTCGTTCAGTTCCAGTACACATGGAGAGCAGAATCGTAACGGTTAACCCAAATCTTCAATGAAAACACTTGATTGGCTACAGTACAGTATTTATATGCATTTCTTTGCTCTCTTATAGACTCTATTCATTTTCAAGGCTACGTAGGCTAGCAGTCAATCCCCTGTATTTTTTTTTTCTATTAAAATTTGTTGGTTGAATTAGATTTGTTCCTGAAGGCACTCTGCTCTCTCTGCTTCCATCACTGCTATTTTTCTGTGCCTCTTAGAATTAGAATACTCTTTGCTTTGCTATACACAGTTCCCAGCCTTGCCTGCTCTTATCCTACATATTTCTCTCTTGATAATGCTGTTGATGAATGGAATATTTGATGGGTGATGGTAGAATTTCTTGTTTTTGTTTTTCTTTCTAGTGATCATCTTTTAACATTTCTGAAATTAATGATATAATTATAATTTTTTGGTCATTTTTTTAAAGCTGTTTTGATAGGGAAGCAGTTTAACATTAAGACCATGCCTTCTAGAATTGTGCTTTGTGATTTACATTCCGGTTTCACAGTTTAGTAACTTGGTGAATTTAGGTGTGCCTCAGTGTTCTCATGTGTACAATAGAGATTTTAAAATTATCTACCTACCAATGTGAAAGCTAAGTGAGATAATATCATTTAAATACTTTTAACAGTGCCTAGCACATAGGAAGCACTTAATAAATGTTAACTATTATAAAACACTAGTGTTCTGTAAGGTTATAGAAAGGAAAATTACCTCAGGCTGTTGTATTTAAGGTGCTTGTCTTTTCAGACTTTGGCGCGTTATTTCAGGGGTTTTAAAAGTTAGGGGTGATTTTACTTTTCGGTTCGCCTGGGGTGGCAACCCAGGAGCACGCCTGTGAGTGTTGCTGTTGTGGTCTGAGTGGTGCCCCGCCTGCGCTGGCCAGCGTACTCGGGTTTGAGTGATAAATTACATATTCTTGATCTTTGGTTAATATATCAGACACTGTAGGACTCTAACTCTGTTACCACATGTATTAAAAAGTATATTAGAATAAAAACACTAAGACAGGAAACACCTTGTAAAGTTTTCTGAAGCAATCTGGAGAGCATAGTTACGGAAAATTGAAGAGGGTAGTGCTAAGTTCCAAGAAACTTGAAATCCTTAATGAATTAAAATGATTAAAGTTTTTTTCTATACACATAAATCGTATATAATTGCAGTGGTGAGAGTAGAAGTGAACACATAGTAGGCAAAAATTATGGAGCCAAGGCTTGTACTTGAAATGTGCTTCAGAATGACCTTTCATAATTTAGAATCCTGAAACTTGGTTTTGCAATCAATTTTAATTTTTTTCCTTTTTAAGACTGTTTTCAAGAAGTCGTTTATATACGCCTGGATGAACTTCTTCGTGTTTTAAAGTCTGTTGTGAATAAACATCAGAACCTCAATTCTGTTGATCTTCAAAATGCTGCAGAAAGTCTTACTGCAAAAGTGAAAGGTAAGAAAGATACATTGAAAGTGGGTTGGTGAGGGCAAAAAGACCCAAGTGATACGTTTTCATTCATGATCACTATAGCGCCATCTTCTCTCATGGCACTGATGTGATGTATGTCAATAGGGGCTGTGTGTACTTCACTATTTAATATTCCTGCTGTCATGCCTAAAATTCTTCCTTCTAAAAATAAAAACTTTATTTGGTAGAAAACACTAAAAACATTAAATAAAATAAACTAAACAACTGATATTTAAAATTTTTGAGTTGTTTGAAAGGGAGGCTATTGGTGTATAAAATTGTTGTTTTGTGAAGATGATTGGTACTAGAAGATGGTCATTCATAGTGACTCAGCTTAAACTAGGGAATCCAGTGGAGAAAGAGGAGGCTTAGATAGGAAATGATTTAAGGTATGAAAAATGAAACTAAAATTGTAAAATAAGTTTACCATGTATGTATACATATATATAGTGTGTGTGTAAAACATGTGCTAAAAGAATCAAGAATTGCAACATTATTATCTATGGAAATGACTCGCCACCCCCAAATAGTAGAATGTGTTATTCTGGGCTGCAATATATAGGAAGGACTGAGGATGAAGTGAGTATTGGAGAAGGAATGAGACTGGAGGCACAGAGTTTATTTAGGAGATTGTTAGGAATAATAAACAAAATGAGGGCTGACAGTCTGATCTAAGGCAGAAGGGAGATGTGGGAAAAGTCAAATGTGGTTGTTAAAAAGAGGGGATGGATGTTAGTTTGATAAGACATACCACAAGCTGGATATTAAGGGCTAAATTAAAGTTTGGAGTTGAAGATGTGGACTTGAGAGTTGCTGGTGTGTAAGTGGTGATGGAAGACGGTGACGCCAGTACAGGGTGTGCAGAATAAAGAGAGGACTGACATGAGATCCCAGAGACAGACAGGTACTACCTGGGAAGTAAGGAGATGGTTTGGAGAAAGATGAAATTTTAAAGTGCAAGGTGCTAAGGAGGACCTTCAGTGTAAATGTCACTGATAGGTAATATGAATTCAAGTAATCTAACTATAAAAAGTTAGATTTCCTTACTTTTCAACCCCCTGGGGGTTGAGTAAGGAAAGGAAAGGTTAGACTTACTTGTGGAGCAGAATTACCTATCCTGCCTCTCCAAGGTCAAGTAGGCATTTACTTTCTGGGCTAGAGGGCCCTGTTGGGGGCTGTGATATAGGGTACATGTACCAGAACTCTGGATGTTGAAAAACATGATATAATTGGTGAACACACTCGTAGATAGAGAGGGCAAATGGCAAGTGTCAAGGGATGAGGCAGGAAGAGCAAAGAATCTTTTCCATAAAGCATAGTTCATTTACTTAAGAACTTCCTCCTCTACTTTTGACATAAATGTATTGGTGCCGTTATTTTTTTCTGTATTTCATGCACTGAAAAAAAAAAGTAGATGGATTTAAATAGGAAAAATGAATGACTTCTGTTGGAACTTTAAAAAATTTGCTTAGTAGCTAAATTTGTTTTTTAAATAGACTGTTTATAAGGGCCATTTAACTTAACTTAGGGAAATTTGTGTCTATAGATAGTAAAATTTCCATGCTTGGAAATAGCAGCCACAGTTCACGCAATTGTTGTCAGTAGCTATTGTGTGCAGTCAGGATGTCCTGGGGAAGGAGTGTGCCTGTGCACAGCTGATGTCCACATTCCAGGAGCAGACCTGAAGAAGGTGGCCTCTCAGCTGCATTGAAGATCTTTTTTATTTTATTTTTTTTGTTTCGAGGTAAAGCAGTCTTTTGAATATTATTTCCCTTTATGGCTGTCTTTACCCTTGGGGTTATTGTTAGGATTTATTTTGTATTGGATGAAATTTAAAAGATTACTTTGTTGAGAGACTTACTCTGGTTCAATAGGATTCCATGCAACTGGACACTGGAAAACTTTAAAAATTGTGTTTTCTTTGGTATTGAGTATGTTTTTAAATACACACCCCACCTCTGACACATGCACACCCTTTATTCTTGAGGTCATCTAAAAATACCGCTGATATCCAAGGTGAAAAACATTCAGTGACCTAAAAATATTGAGGTTAAATCAGGGCTTATTTCATTCTTTCATTTAATGATAATTTAGTTTTCAAACCCTGGAAAAGCAAGGGTGAGGTAGAAACCATTTTTGAATTTTGTTCTGGGGCATTTCCTCAGTGTTTTGCATAAGCCATCTACTTTAATATTTTCAAAAATCTATAAAGGTACATTTTTTATTTCTATTTTAAAGAGGAAAACGTAAAGAAAAAAGTATTGTAGGATCAGGAAGTTTCTGAATGTGGAGATTATCTTGTCTTAACCCCCTGATTACATTTAGAAAACAACCATGACCCTGTTTTGGAGGTCTTAACTGTCAAATGCATTTTGCAAATATATACTACACTGCTAAAAAATTATGCATAAATACAGAATAACTGTAGAATCAGGTATAATCTTGTTTGTTTTACAAGAGGTTTGAATGCATGGAATTTATCCACTTCTAAGCATGATAAGTGAGAAATTGGAACCTCACTTCTCTCATTTTTTATTTTAAATGTGAAATTTACTTTTTAATAACTTTGAATGAAAAATCCTTACTTTTCCTCATTCATTCTAGTAGTGATTTGTATTTTTTGTGTCTCCTGTTTCCAAGCAGGAAGCTCAGTCTGACAAAATATTTAGAATCTGGTAAGAGAGATACAGCCTATTTTTGAAGTAGATAAAGGTCCCTTCAACATGCAGTAATTTATCATGTACTTATTTTTTTTCATTGATATTTACAGTTATTTTGGTCTCATTTGTAATACAAGTTAAATCTCATTTATAATGTAAATTAAAAGGATTACTTAGGTTTTTCATGATCTGTGTTTGGCCTGTAATTGACAAATGAAAAGGAAGGTCTAGTAAACATCCAAAATTATAGAAGCCTCATGTTTTATTTCTGTTTTGAAAAATTAATTTTTTAATAGGCAACTCATTGACACAGTTGATCATGGAAATGGTGTAAAAGAGCATTCAGTGGTGAATACGTGCCTTCCACCCAATCCTTTTCCTAAATAAGCAACAGCTGTTACTGGGTATTTGTGTATCTTATTATGCATATGCAAGCAAATACAATATGTTCTCTTTTTTATCCTCCTTTTTGCACAAATGGTATCATCCTTCTTGCTCATTGTTTTGAGTTATCTGTTCATAAAAGGTTTTCTTATTCTTTTGTTTTATTTGCTTTATTTTTCCAAAGCTGCATGATAATCCATTATAGTGGTGTACTATAATTTATTTTACCAGTTCACCACTAATACATGTTTGGATTGTTCCCAGTCTTTTTCAAACAATGCTTCAATGAATACGTATGTAAATTCTTAGATGGGCAGTTACTCGACCAGAGAGCATGTGCATTTATATTTTGGGTATTGCCACATGCCCTCTGTAGAGGTTTGCCCTTCTGATAGCAGTGCTGAAAACCCTGATCTTCTGCACCTTGGCCAGCAGAGCTTTGTTCTCTGATCTTTGTGTATACAGGTATAGTAAAAATTGGTATCTCAGTGTGGATTCAATTTGCATTTTTCTCATTTTGAGTGCAGTTTAGGATTGTTTTATATGTTTCAGATCCATTTGTACATCCTTTTATGTGAATTGACCCTTTACCTGTCTACAAGTAAAATTAGTTCTAATCTTTGGTATAAGTTGCAGGTTTTCTTTTGTTTGTTTTTTGTATCTATTTCTGGTCTGTTATGTGTCCCACTGATGTATTTAGTCATGTGCCAGTACCACACTGCCTTTATTGTAGTTCAACAGTATGTTTTAGTATCTGGTAAAAGTAGTTCCTCTTTCTATTCTTTTTTGTTCAGGATTTATTTTTCCATCAAGATATTTGAATTGGCTTGTGTAGTTCAAAAAAATATCTTGGTATTTTGAGAGTGACTTGAGTTAAATTTATAAATTAAGGAGAATTTATATACTTAGCATTTCTGTCTGAGAATACAGTACATGTATTTCAGATTGTCTTTTATGTTTTTGAAACAACTTAAAGTTTTCATTTTGTAAAGCTTGTGGCTTTTCCCCGCTTAGCATTTTTTCTCTATGCAAATGGTGAAATTTTTCTTTCATTATATCTTCTATTTCAATGATTTTCAAGTTAGTGCACCATGACCAGCATTTTTAAAGTATGAAAGAGACTAGAAAGAAAAATGAAAATGCAGTATTCATTAAATAAGACTTAAGGATGTTTCAAAACTCTATGGGTGTTACATAACCAGTTGCTATTATGTGTGCATGGTATACTCTGTCATGGTGTAAAATGTTTGTCTTACTGAAGGTTGTGATCAAAAAAGTTTGAAAGTTGCTATTCTAATTGGTTGTATGTGATTTCTTAAAGACATTCTTAGTGTGTCTTAGTGTGTACTGTTGAGACTTAATAGGGAACCCAAGGGAGAAAATTATTTGAACCTGGAACAAAATTTTGATGAAATTTTGAAGAGGGACTAATAGCAAGGCACAGGTAGAGACAGACCCCAGTGAACAGGTGGTTATGTAGGCCAGACTAGGGGTACAGTGTGGCTTTTTGATCTAAGTCAGTGCTTATGGGAATGAAAAGGAAGAAGAAACTTGTTTTAGAGGAATTTTGAAAGCTAAGCTATTGAACTAAGGAATGTATGGAAAAGAGTAGTTTTGAGGGGCAGAGTAGAAGGGAAGATAAAGTACAATTTAGTACATGTTGAGTTTGCATTGCTGGTGGGCGAAGATTGGGAAGAGGGGGAAGGAATATATCAAAGAGACCATTGGAAAGGTGGGTCTGGAGCCCCAAGGTTAAAATTAGACAGGTACAGGTAGTTTAAGAATTCATTTCTTTGAAGGTATGAGAGTGAACAAGGTTCTGTGGGGATAATGTATAGGATGAGTGGAATGACTGTCTGAAGTACAGGTTGTCTACAGATGTAGAATGTGAGGACACTTATGTTTACTAATTACCAAGCTTTGTTTTCTCTGTTGTTCCTT